TGTGTGTGTGTGTGTGTGTGTGTGTGTGTGTGTGTGTGTGTGTGTGTGTGTGTGTCTTAAAAGATGTCAAGCGCATATGGGGTATAATTTCCAGAAGGAGAAAAGTCCTGAACACAAATAGTTCTACCACCCTTGCTGCATGCTCCTGACCTGTAGTGGAGACACTGTAGTAGGGACTGGGAAGAATAGGTTAGAACCAATGCACATGGATGAGATGGGCCAGCAGCAGCAAGGGGGGAAGGCAGCTGAGGTTAACAATCCCCAGATCAACAGAGATGAAGACAAGACACCCAGGGAACAGAGCAAGCCAGGCATTGTGCAGTGCTAGTAGAAACCAGAATATTCAGGGTCTAGTCGAGAGGCCCACTGAGCTGGGACAGACACTCCCAGCCCAAAGCTGCAGATAAGTATGAAGCAGCCTTGGCCTTGGGCTACTGCAGGGTCAGGCTCAGCCAGTGGTCCAGGCACACGTGCAATCATAGAGAAGTAGCACCCAGGATACTACCATACTATAAAATACTATTTCACCTGATCAGGACTCAGATTTTAAAAAAAAAAAAAAGAATAAAATACTATTTCATGGCAATAACTGGGTTGAAACCTTGATTTTAATGGGAATTCTCTGTCTCAAGTTAAAGAGAAATTTTCCAGTGGACTTGGGGTTATGATTTATGATGTTGGCTGGTCAGAAACTACAAACTCCCTGTTCAGCAGTAATTTCTTCAGTAACCATGTGATGAGCAAGAATCTTTAGTTGTCAAAATCTCACAAGCTAAGTCACCCCAATTCAGAAAAGGGAAATTGTATAATGTGTTTGCAATAAATATATTAAATACTCTTAACTTTAAAGCAATTCTTGTGATTTTAAACCACAATTCTAAGAGAGAAAAGCACTTCCTATATGCTCCACAAAGAAGTCTATATTACATTAAAATCAGAAATAAAAGACAAAAAAAATGCTTCAACAATGTACAGGTCAGTTCTGTGGCATCTGTTAACAAATGTGAGTCATTCCATTGAAATCTTTCTCACCACGCAGACTTTTCCTGTAAAATGGCTTTAAGGATTATTACTTAGAAAGACTTACCTACAATTGGCTGGCCGGTTAGTTCAGTTGGTTAGAGCACAGTGTTATAATGCCAAGGTCAGAGTTCAGATCCCCTACCTACCAGGCGCCATAAACAAAAAAACAAAAAAAAAGACTTACCCACAAGAAGAAAAGCCAATGTAAACATCATACATAGGATAATCTTCCATGATTGAGTTACCCTAAAAAGAATAAAAATGGTGATTAAAAATAAGAACTTAACAATGTAATACATCACTGTTAACCTTAAACTTGGACTTTAACCATTTAGCCAAGTTGACAAACTTGCTTATTCTCATTCATGTTTATTCTAGGTTGAGTTTGTGAATTAATTTAATTTCTGATCCATTATCTTTGAAATTGAGAGAAAATAGTTTTTATGAAGGTACACACTCATGCATAATGCATGTGCATACATACATTCATATATAACAGTTATGCTATTATATGCTTGTTTTTATTCTTTAAATGCTTATAAGAAGAAAATAAGTGGTTATCCTAGATGTCTTGAATGTATAATGAGCTTTAAAAAAAAGAAAGAAAAGAAAAGTCAGGCTCTGATTTTGTAGAAATTAGGTATTAAGCTAAAGAACTATGACAATTAACAATTATCTGATAAAATTCCTTAAAGTCATTATAACCTTTTTTTCCCATTTTGTATTGAAGTATATAACATACATATGTAAAAGTGCACAAATCATAATTTTATAGCCTGATGAACTCTTGCAGAGTGAACATATATATCTGTGCAGGAATGTGAGAAAATATCTGTTGTTTAAACCACCCAGTTTGTGGTATTTTTTATTGTAGCCCAAGCAGATGAATACAGCCAGCCTGTCAAAGCCCTTCTTATGCCCCTCAGACCCTACACCTTCCGTCTCTAATGGTAACTGCTCTCCTGAGCTCCATTCCCATCGACTAGACTTGCCTGGTTTTGAACCAGATACAAAGGGATACCCGTATGGACATCCCTCCTAACACCGATGGGCATTTGGGGCTAAAAATATATATTTGTTTATTATATATATAATATACAAATCATGCTATTATAAATATTTGTATAAGCAATGCTGCTATGAACATTCCCGTACATGATTTTTTATGAACAAATGTATGTATTTCATTTGTAAAATATAGTTAATAAATATATTTATATTCTATTTATAAAATATAGCTAAACTATAACAAATATATATTTGTTTATCTTATATATATAAAACAATGCTGTTATAAATATTTGTATATGTGATGCTGCTGTGAACATTCTCGTACATAGTTTTTGATAAAAACATGTATGTATTTTATTGGTATATTCCCAAGAGATGAACTGCTGGGTCATAGCGTATGTGTATATTCAGTTGCAATAGATCCTGCCAAATAGTTTTCCAAAGTGATTGTAGTTATAATATTTTCACACCCAATTTTTTAAAAAAGCCTTAAAGGGGAAAAAAAAAAGGCTAAAATAGTCTGATCCAGGCTGTGAGCTTCTGGATGAAGTAGTCCAAGTTGGTAAACTAAAAATGTCTACTTAAAATATAAGAAAACCCGAATTAAGACGGATCATTTGTTAACTGCAGATGGCAACCTGATGCAGCAGCAGAAGCACTGGGTCACAATTTAAGGAAGGAGGACTGCACTAGTCCCAGAATTTCATGTCCCTTCAGCAATTTGGCCGATGGCTTTTCACCTGCTGGTTCTGAACTAGTTTCCATCAACTGAGAGGCACAATTCCCTGCTCCAGGTCTATGAAGAACAGGTAAGAAGTTGACCTTACGTCTGCAAGTGACTTAATTTATGTTTAGATATGTGTATTTCTTTCGATTTTGCTCCTTCTTGGAAAATTATGTTCAACTGTCAGTAAACAGATTACTTATATTAATTTTTCCAAGTTAGTTGGCCAAATGATGTACAAATTTACTGTCTTAGTGATTTGCTCTTGAGTTGTAATGTTGGTTGGACCTTATAAGACTATAGCTCAGACTCTGCAGGGAGACTTAGAATGAGCTTCCCGGTTCTCCCAGTAGTTTTAAGTAGCTTACTTCAGCTGCATAAAGCAATCATGCTCATTAGCCACCCAGGGTTATGAGACAGTGCGAAAAGCAACTCAGAAGACAGTTTCCCTAATTCACTTTCCTCCAGGGAAAGATCACCTCCGACCCCTTTAAATATTACTGGTCATGCGGAGAGTGGTAGAGGGTTCTCTGGCTAAAAAGAAAGTTATTCAAGGTCAGTTACAGCCCCCTGAAGAGCCCTCCTGGTGGGCTGACTTAGGTAAAAATGACCACATTCCTATATTTACCAAAGATGATTTCTGTTTTTTACTAGAAAGTCTGGCTGCCAGGCTCTGCTTTGCAAGACTCCTTCCATGCCTTTCCCCCAGCCTGTGGCATTCTGCCATTCGGAGCTAGCCTGCTTTGTTAGTACTAATTGTAATGTTCAAATGCTGCTCTTCTGGTACTGATAACTGCGTAGCATTCCTTTTATTTCTATTGACAGTTTTATTTCTTTTATTGCTTTTATTTCTATTTATTATTTTTAGTTTTATTCCTTTTATTTCTATTGACAGTTTCGTTTCTGTGCAAGTGCACAGAGTTACCACTGGGATGGTCATTTTGTTGCTTTCAGTTTTTGTCTTCCCAGCAGGCAGCAAATGGTGCAGGTAGATAAGTCTTGGGTCTTTGGCCCAGCCGAGTGGGCAGGGCTTCCCTGCTTTCTCCTAATAGTCAACATTCATGTATGTAGTGGATTGAATTATGTCCCCCCAAAACTCACTGAGGTTTGAATTGTGTCCCCCAAGTTTTATATATTAGAAACTTAGCCCCCACTGTGACTGTAAACAGGGTGGCAAATCCTATTATGGTAACTGAAAGGTGGAGCCTTGAAGAGGTGATTGGATTGTAGGAACACGCAATAGTGAATGGATTAAAAATACTGGTCAGAGGCCTAGTTCTGAGGGCTTTAGAAGAAAAGAAAGAGAATCTGTCTTCTCTCTCTGCCCTCTCTGCTTCCACTATCTTGCAATGTGAGACCCCTGGGTCACTGTTGCCACCACCAGATGGACTTTGGACTTTCCAGCCTCTGACACTGTAAGCAAATAAATTTCATTTTTCTTTATAAATCACCCAGTTCCCTGTACTTTATGATAAGCAACGAAAACGGACTAATACAATATATTCTTGCTATAGGAAACACAGTTATTATTAGCTCCAAACGTGTACCCACTAACAGATTTTTTAGCCAATTCTCATCCAAGGGTGTAATAAATGCCTCTCTGTATCCAGAGTCCTAAGCTCGGTGCTAATCTCTGCGTGCCATCAAGACGAGACAGGCTAGCTCATGATGAAAAAGTGAATCTGCTGCTGCCCAGGTTTACTCACTTAAAAAGGATGGCTCCTCTTTCACAGCCCCGTCCCCAGTCCACTGTGATTAATCTACATACCGCTGACAGAGAAAGCAGACTGCAAGCCACAGAGAGTACCGTGATCGAGAGAAACCTTCAGAGGAAACAATTTGGAAATGATTTTCTCTAATAAGGAGGAAAGCATTTGTTGGGTTATTTTCCAGGTAAACGGGGCACCAGTGATATATGACACGTATAAGATCCCAGGGACGCCGTTCTGCAAAGCTACAGACCCGGTGGCGTCAGGGTTTTCGTACCCTGAGAGCAAAACGTTCATACGGGCGGTGCTGCTGGCTTCTTCCGAGCGGCCTCTGGAAAGCCCGGCAGCCTCTTGCGGATTTGGTCGTCCATTCATCTTCCCCCACCGAGTGACAGAGCCGGGAGACAGCACAATTCCATTCGGCTTCTCTTCCCTATTTCATGGAAAACAAGAAGCTATCCATGGCAGTTTGTCGATTTGCTCTATGACGTCTCGCTTCACAGGTGTTTCTCCTTCCAGGGGAAACTGAGTGCGTGCGTTTTGAACGGCCTCTGAGCCTTCTGTTACATCACGCTGTGTGACACCTCACAATGGCAGACACACCACCTTCAAATGCCTTGTTGTACTGTATTTGAAGCCCACAGAATAATATACAGGTCGCTCTGTACCCACTACGTTGCTGTAGCAAATCTGGATGTGTTGCTGTGTTTGCTTCACTAATTTTTTAAAAAACTAAAATATGAGAAATACCATGGAAGACCCCAAAATATTCCCTAATTTTACTACTCTTCTTTATTTCCCATAGATAACTACAATCTGATAATTGATATACCCCATTCCCATGTGTTTTTTGATATTTTACTGCACAAATTTGCATCTGTAAATAATGTATTGCTTTTATACCTTAAGCTTATAATAAATGACATGCCACTCTTGGATTTCTTACATTATCTATTTGTAGACAGATTAACTCCAGTCCGGTCATTGTAACTGTTCTATAGTATTTTATTGTATATACATCACAATTCATTTGCCTATTCTTCTATAGATGTATACTTAGGTTGTTTTCAGTTTTCCAGCAATACAAGTAATGCTCAATGCATGTTCTTATATGCACATCACAAGGTTTTTCTAGGCATACACCTAGAAATGGAATTGCTAGATGGAATCAGGAGTTAGTTTATTTGGAATATAAAATTCTAGGGTGACAATTATTTTACTGTCATCACTGCGGAGACATTACTCAAAGGTCTTGTGGAGTTGACTGCTGCTGATGATAAGTCTATCTGATCCTCATTTCTTTTCTTTCTTTCTTTCTTTTTTTTTTTTTTTTTTTTTCCCTTTTTTTTTTTTTTTCCCTTTTTTTTTTTTTTTACCTTTTTGTCTTTTTTCGTGGCCGGCAACGGATCGCAACCCTCAGTGTCGCGCCCGTACCGGACTGGGCCCGGCAACGGGATCGCAACCCTCGGTGTTGTTCCCGCCCCTCGCTCAGCCAGTGAGCGGGAACCGGTCTGTGTGTGGGATCCGAACCCTCGGCGGGAGCGACACCGCGCTTCCCAAGAGGCGCACTGCAGCAGTGCGCCACCGGGCCGGCCCCTTTTTTTTTTTTTTTACCTTTTTGTCTTTTTTCGTGGCCGGCAACGGATCGCAACCCTCAGTGTCGCGCCCGTACCGGACTGGGCCCGGCAACGGGATCGCAACCCTCGGTGTTGTTCCCGCCCCTCGCTCAGCCAGTGAGCGGGAACCGGTCTGTGTGTGGGATCCGAACCCTCGGCGGGAGCGACACCGCGCTTCCCAAGAGGCGCACTGCAGCAGTGCGCCACCGGGCCGGCCCTTTTTTTTTTTTTCTTGGCAATTTGTCTTTTTTCCTCTGGTAGTTTTTAAGATTTCTGTTTAGCCATGATGTTTTTCAGTTTCACATCAATGAACCTAGGTTTGATATTAGTTTTTATTTTTCCTCATTTGCATGCAGAGGGCCTTTTCAATTTGAGGGCCCCTGCCTTTCTTCAGTTCTGGACTATTTTTCAGCCATGAGATCTTCAAATACTGCTTCCCTGCTATTGCCTCTATTTTCTTATAATGGCCCACGAGTCAACATTTGTGTTTCCCTTTTAATTTATTCTCCATGTAGTTCAACTGCTTCTTCAGACTTTTTTTTTTTTTTTTCTCTGTTCTCTTTGTACTTATGCTCCTTTCAGGGTAAATCTGTAAGTGCCATTTTCCAATTTACAAATTTTCTCTTTGCCTCTGAAAGTTATGATCTATCCCAAGAATCACAAGATTTCTACCTTTTTTTACCTAGTGGTCCAAACTTCAAAAGATACAAAATGATCATAGCAAACGCTGCCTTTCTCTCCCCAATTCTGCTTTCTAGCCATTGGTTTCCCTCCCTGCCAGCATCCGTGCTACCATTTTCTACTATTTCTTTTCAAAGGCGTGATATGTGTGTACAATACATGACATGGTATGATGCATACATGTATATATTTATCTCTTCACATTGTTTAAACTAGATGGTAGCTTACTACAAACTGTGCCCTACATCTTGCTTTTTTCACCTAAGAACATGTCTTGGAAGTCTTTCTGACTCAGATTAAGATAGTCTTCCTCATTCTTTCATGGTCAACTAGTGTTTCATTGGGTGAGTGTGCCATATCTGCTTAAACTGTCTCATATTGATTGGTATTTTTGATATTGAAAACAATGTGCAATAAATGACCTTGTATATGTGTAAATATATCTGTAAAAATATATACCCAGAGGAAGAATTGCTGGGTCAAAGTCTATGTGTATTTGCCCAGAAATAAGCCCCACATATATATGGTTCAACTAACCTTTGACAAGTTTGCCAGGACCATGCAATGGGCAAAGGATACTGTAGTCTCTTCTATTAATGGTGCTGAGAAAACTGGATATCCGCACGGAAAATAATTAAATTGTACCCTTATCTTATGCCATTCACAAAAATTAACTTGAAATGGGTTAAAGACTTAAATGTAAGACCTGAAACCATAAAGCTCCCAGAAGAAAACAGGGGAAAGCTCCTTGACATTGGTCTTGGCAATGACGTTTTTGTTTGTTTTGCTTTTTGCTTTTTGTTTTGTTTTGGTGGCTGGACCTTATGGGATCCAAACCTTTGACCTTGGTGTTATCAGCACTATGCTCTAACCAAGTTAGTTAACCGGCCAGCCCAATGACTTTTTGAGCACAGGGAACAAAAGCAAAAATAAATAAGTAGGACCACATCAAACTGAAAACTTTCTGCACAGCAAAAGTAACAATCAAGGGCCGGCCTGGTGGCGCACTGGAGAGTGCGCCGCTTGGGAGCACGGCGGCGCTCCCGCCGAGGGTTCGGATCCCATGTGGAGACCGGTTCCCGCTCACTGGCTGAGCTCGGTGCGGGCACAACACTGAGGGTTGCGATCCCGTCGCCAGTCCCTGGTACGGGCGTGACACCGAGGGTTGCGATCTCGTTACCAGTCAGTAAAAAAAAGACAAAAAGGAAAAAAAAAAAAAAGTAACAATCAACAAAACGAAAATGCAACCCATAGAACGGGAGAAAATATCTACAAACCATATAACTGATAAGGGGTTAATATCCAAAATATAAAAGGAACTCATACAACTTAATATAAAAAATAACTCAATTAAAAAATAAGCAAAGGTCCTAAACAGACATTTTTCCAAAGACATACAAACGGCCAAAAGCTGTGTGAAAAGATGCTCAACATCACTAATCATTAGGGAAGTGCAATTCAAGACCACAATGAGATATCACCTCACACCTGTTACCATGGTGGCTATTGTCAAAAAGACACAAAATAACAAATGTTGGTGAGGATGTGGAGAAAAGGTAACACTTGTATATTGTTGGTGGGAATGTAGATTAGTACAGCCATTATGAAAAACAGTATAAAGGTTCCTCAAAAAATTAAAAAAGAATTACTATGTGATTTAGCAATCCCACTTCTGGTTATACGTCCAAAGGAAATGAGATCAGCATGTTGAAGAGGCGTCTGCACTCCCATGTTCATTGCAGCATTACACAACAGCCGAGATATGGAATCAACCCACGTGTCCATTGATGAATGACTGGATAAAGAAAATGTGAGGCAGGGGAGGGCGGCACCGGGAGGACCAAGGCCTGGACCCACCCCTGCCTCCCTTGTGTGAGAGTATGCTGCCTAATCTGGAAGGGTATACGTCCATGCAGGGTATACAGCAGGGGCACATCCATGCAGGGTAAGCAGAAGAGGGCACGCGCAGGCGGGACACACAACAGGGGCACATCACACAAGGTATACAGCAGGAGCACGTCCACGCAGGGGCACACGCACTCCGGTACACAGCAAGGGCACAGCTGTCATTGCCTTCACCAAGCAATATGCCAGATAATCTCCTTTCTTGTGAAGCACGATTCATAACATAACTGTACTTTTTGTAGATCCCAAATCCGGGCAGGCAAAAAGTTCACATTTAAGTCAAGTGTTTGTTTTTCTAAACACTATTCCACAGAAACAGGGCCAAGGGTTTCTTAAAAGGGTCTCTCGATTTACCAAACAGAAATATTCTCAAAAAATAAAATAGAAGGAACACCGTTTACATGATAATCTTAGTACTGATACACAACTGGAAGAAATGTCTATTTGCTGAGTTTCCCCAAGTACTTAGCAGCCTTTTTTATTCATTAAATAAACATGAAGTTTACGAGCAAACGTGTCTAAATATTAAGCATCCTTTTGCTAGGTGAATCATTCTCGCATCGGCTTAGTAAAATCTTATTTTATATACTAGAGCTTTTTTTAGGGTGGGACAGTGATAGTTGTTTGGAAAAAGTATTGGGAGTGTCCTGGGAGTTTCAGATAAACCTCCCACGCTCTGGCAATGCTGCGACCCCGCCCCTGCCCCGCCACGCCCTGGCCCCCCGCCAGAGCTCCGGGCACTTGACAGGCGGCGCCAGTGCTCCGCCCCGGGCCCTGATTGGCCGGCTGCCGCCCCGCAGGCTGCCCCTGTTGGCTGCCCGCGCTCCCGCCGCGCCCGCCGGTTGGCGGCCCAGCCGTTGCCCCGACGACGCGAGTTGTTGTGGCTCCGCGCGGCGCTAGGTATTTGGGGTTGGTCCCCTTCCGCCAACCGCGCACAGACTCCAGCGTCGGGCGCCGCGGGCCATACCCACGGAGACCCTGGGCTAGAGGGTGAGCCGGGGCACACGGGACGGGACTATCCTGTCACCGGAACAGGGTGAGCACGGGGCGGACCCCAGGCGAGACCTTCCAGCCCGGCCCAAGTCCAGGTGCCCTTGATTACCTGCTTCTACCTTGTGTATACTTGTACCTGCTCTATGCCCGGAATAGATGTGCCCCTGTTGTATACCTGGCATGCATGTGTCCCTGCTGTATACCCGGCGTGAAAGTGTCCTTGCTGTGTGCCGGAGTGCGTGTGCCCCTGCGTGGACGTGCTCCTGCTGTATACCTTGTGTGATGTGCCCCTGCTGTGTGTCCCACCTGCGCGTGCCCTTTTCTGTTCGCCCTGCATGGAGACACCCCTGCTGTGTACCTGGCGTAGACATGCCCCTGTTGTATATATCCTGCATGGACGTATACCCTATATACCCCGTGCCCCTGCTGTGTACCCGGCATGGATGTGCCTCTGCTTTGTAACGGGGGTGGTGTGCCTCTGCTGCGTACCCGCCGTGGTGTGCCCCTGCTGCGCACACGGCGTGGACGTGCCCCTGCTGCGCACCCGGCGTGGACGTGCCTCTGCTGCGTACCGGGCGTGGTGTGCCCCTGATGTGCACCCGGCATGGACGTGCCCCTGCTGTGTACCTGGCGTGGACGTGCACGCACTTGGCGATCGTAATGCGCCTGCAGAGGTGTCGAGTGGCTGCGGACAGACTGTGCCCAGCACACCCACGGGCACCCGGTCCAGCAGCGTCTGTCTCTTCCCATAGCGCCCGGCCATGAGGAACACGAGCAAAGAGCTGCACGGCGCCTCGCAGCGCTACGCTCCCTGCGGTGAGTGCGCCCCGTCCCGTCCCTGCGCACGGCGCGCATCCCTGCAGTGCCCGCGGGACCCGCTGCGGACCTGCCGCCCTCTGTGTGTGTTGGGGTCCGAGGGCGCGAAACGATGGGGCAGCGAGTGATAAAACTGACAAGTCATACTCTCAAAGAAAGCCGCATAGTGCTTCTGTGCCCGAGTATCAGATAAAAGCTTAAAGGGAAATAGGAAAGAAAAAAGTAGTCGTCTTTTTCTTTGTTTTCAACAAGAGAGAACCAAGGCTACCTACTGTTGCCTCAGTTGTTGGACAACAGGATCCCTTTGAAATGTTCTTCGTCAAACTGTAACCCTATGTGACTCTCGTGCTGCTTTCCAAAATGTGGACGCAGTTGCCAGGCTGTGAAGCTGAAGAAGTCTTGGGACGCGGTCCCGTGGTTTTGCTTTTGTTTTGACTCCTCTCCGTCTTGTGAAGGGCTGGAGAGAGAAGGTGGAGAAGGGGTCCAGGTGCCCAGCTGGGACAGCCGGCTGGAGCTGGCAGGCCCCCTGAGCCCGCTCACTTCTGCTCAGAAGTGAAACAAAGCGTCGCCCTTCTATGTGCTCTATGTGGAATGTGCTTCTCCCCCAGGGCTCTGTGACCACTGCTAGTGACACTGTGGCCATGCTGGGGACTCGTGGCAGGGAGGGGGTACGGGGGCAGCACAGGAGGCCTGGCGGGCCTTGTCCCACCGTGGGCTCTGGGGCCTTTATGAGACTTCTTGGTGCCTTAGTCAGTAGCCTTGTCTGTATGGATAACGCTATTAAACACTAGCAAGTGTCAGGCACTGTTCCTCACACTTTATATACACGAGCTCATTTAACTTCACAACAGCTCTGGGAGGTATCATCACCCCATTTTATAAACAAGGAAATAGGCACATAGAGTTTGGAATAAGTTGCCCAAGGTCGCACACCTAAACAAGTGGCTCCACAGTCCATGTTTTTAATCCTTGTTCTTTGAGGCCACAGCAGCCTGAAGACAGTAGCGTGTGTCCTGTGAATGTGTGGGCACACAAAACACTGCAGTGTGGCTTAGAGACCAGGCAAGCTGGGGGATCTTCAGTAAAACTCACAGTCTGTTGCAGCCTCTGTTTCCTCATTGATAAAATAAGAGCATTAACAGCCAGCAAATGAGAAGGCAGGAGAGGCCATGTAAAGAAAATCTATACAATAGTAAATAATCTGATGTCATAGCAGTACTATCAATTTTTAATAAAAGCTAAAAGATAACTCTTTGTCCCTTTAACTCTGTGTGTGTGTGTGTGTGTGTGTGTGTGTGTGTGTGTGTGTGTGTGTTAGGTGGTGATGGTTGTTTCTTACAGATTCGGGCCCTCGCTCTGTGAACTCCTCCTTTGCATGAATTTATAATTGGCCAAACAGATTAGAGTTCAGTGTCCAAAGCTTCCAGTAATGAGAAGGTAGAAGACATACTGTTCTCTGAGGATTAATTAGTAATCAAAACACAGAGAAGAAGAATAAAGCAAGCATCAAATGCCTTCCCTCTAAAAAAGAAAATATTTGTGCTGAGTATGACCAGAGTATGAAGCTGCTAAACCTTTATTCTCATTCTTAGATTGACTCTCTGTGATCTTTTATGCAATTCTTTCAACACTTCCCAACTTTTTTTCTTTTCAAAGCCATATTATGTTGATTCAGCTAATTAGTGTCCTTCAGATGTTTAAAAGTTTTCCCATGTTAAATGTCATTTATTTTTACATGGTGAACCTAGCAACAGTTCTAAGTAGAAACTGGATATCTAAGGTTTTAGCTTTAGAGGATGGTTTCTTCTTGTTTCTGTGTGCTTATGTGAATTGATTTATTCAGTACTGTTTTCCTGTGCACTTACTGTATTAGAGTTCTCCAGAGCAACTGGATATATATTTACCTGTATACACAGAGAGAGATTTATTTGAAGGCACTGGCTCACATGCCTGTGGACGCTGGCAAGTCTGACATGTGCAGGGCAGGCCAGCAGGCCAGAGACCCCGGAGAGGGCTGAAGCTGCAGAGTGAGTCCGAAGGCTGAGTGGAGGCAGAATTCCCTCTTCCTCGGGGGAGCTCGGTCTTTTCTAATACTGTCACCTGACTCAGTGAGGCTCACCCACGTGATAGAGGGTAATCTGCTTTACTCTAAGTCTACTGATTTAAGTTATTCTCATGTAAAAAAACATCTTCACAGAAACAGCCAGAAAAATGCTTGATATCTGGGTATGGTGGCCCACCGTACTGACATGTAAAAGTAGCCATCACATCTACCATGAATGGAGTATTTTGTTAGATGCTGAATGTCATGAATCTGTGACAGTATATGCTGATGAGTGCTATTAAACACACCCAGCCGTGTGTGCCACATTAATTGAATCTTTTGTATTTTACATTATTCTTGGATTTTGTTTCTAAAGTTTTCAGTCCTCTGTGATACTCTTATACATGGGCATCTGTTAATCAATTTCTGACTCAAAGAGTTACCTAAAGTGCCTATAGTCCGAATGCCCCCAGATCTCTTCTCTCTGTGGGGTCATAAATAAACACTAATAACTCCAGGTCCCTGTGATTGTGCCAGCACTTCTGGCTCTTGACTGAAGCTCTACAGTCTACGACTAAGTGTCTCAGGAGTGGTCCCAAGCCAGCCCGCAGGGTCCGTCCTGCGTGCTCTCAGCACAAGGCCTCAGGACCTCATGGCTTCACCAGGCCCATGTTCCACAGCCCTGGGGCACGCTTTCCTTTTCTTCTCCTGTGTCCTACCCCCATGCTGTCGCACCCGGTTCCTCTACAGGAGCCACACTGTCTACACTCAATGTATTTCGACTTGATCTTTCCCGTGGGAGCCAAACCCAGTCACCTTAGGAATTTGCAGCCTGAGAAGGTCACCCTGGCACAGGTAGCTCCCCTCCCGTTCCCTCTCTCTTCAGTCACCATCTAGGTGTCGGCCGCCTCCCCCTGCCCATGTGGGCTGGCGAGGGGCTTGTGGAAGAGGCTGCTGGTTCTGCTGGCCTGGGGTGTAGCAGGGAGGCTATGGGTGGGCTTCAAACAGTTGTTCAGTAGATGAGGCTGCTGTGAGCCCATCCTGCCTTTTTAAGTTCTTGTAAAATTGATAAATGTGTTCAATCAGGCTATTTCTGTGACAGAATTCATATTTCAGTATTTTCAACATACTAAGTTTATCACATCTTGGTCAACATTTAGCTACCTATTCCATAGGCTTACCCATAATGTTTTAAGTGATTTGGGGTTCTTCAGGAATGTATATGCCCCAACATAACCCAAAATACAGTAAGGTCTTAATTTTATGGAGGATTGAGATTGAGAGAGAGAGGGAAAGGGGCTTGGTTACCTCCCTGCAAGGCTAAAAGACCAAAGGAAGAGGATCGATCCTTGCAGCTTTGGTGACAAGGGTCAGGCTGCAGCCCAGAACTGGCCTGGCCCACGTTGAAGGTGCTTTTCCTTCCTTTGGTATCAGAGCTTGGCACATTAGTAGGCTCTAGAGGCTTCACTGCATGGCTGGCAGGGTTAGGACTCATCGCGGGTGTTTGAAGAGGGTGACTTCTTTCTTGCTTTGCCCCGAGGTGTTGTCTGTATAGACAGTCTCATGGAGGACAAGAGGCCTTCCTGACACAGGTGTCCTCCTGACACCCACGCGTAACAACCAGCCCTTGGCCTCTCTCCTCTCTAGATTGGTATTACCACCTCCCCATGAAGCGGTCCGAGAAGGCTGTGGATGCCCCACCAGCATCCCAGATCCCAGGTCTCAGCAATTTGGGGGAATCCCAAAATGGGAACACGCTTGGGATTCGGAGATACTGGATAAAAGAAACGGACTCGGAATACGTGAAGCTCGCAAAACAAGGCGGCAGGCCTGGTGAGCCCCCACGTGCCCGGCCTCGTGAGCAGCGGTGGGGGTGTTTGTTCCTAATTTCTCCCATAGAAAAATATTTCTGTGAAGTCTGTGAGTTTTCCCCAAGGCCTTTGGAATCTTAGGTCAATTAAATAGAGCTGGGGCTGTGTACAGTCTTCAGGGATGAGCTAATTTTAGTGATGTTAGACTGAATAGACTTTGAATTCACAGAATGGGCTGTGTAGGATATTTCTTCTCAGTGATTCCTTTGCAGTGATTCATCCCCCCCCACCCCCCCCCGTTTCATTTTCTTGTTGCAAAGAGAATCTCAGGAAGTTCCTACTTCAGTAGAATCTCTTTGCACTTTAACATCCTTGCTTGGTGCAACCAGTTCCTAACCAACTTGTGAAAAGTTTTTGTTTTCTGTTTATTTTCATTGTCCCTTGTCCTTCATGTGAATATGTTTTAAGTAATGAAGACTAAAGGTAAGTTTTAGTGGTGATGTTGATGAAGATCGAACTTTTATATGTGATTTAATTGAGAAAATACTGCTTGACCATGTTAAACATGAAGGCATATTGAGTTCAATAGAAATCACTGATGGATCAGAGGGTTAAGGGACCACATCTAAAATGTCTCATAGCTGGCCTTTGGGGGCAGTAAGTGACATGGAGAGATACTAACCTTTTCTTTTTTTTAGGGTTCGGATCCCACATGCGGACCGGCTCCTGCTCACTGGCTGAGCGAGGCGCGGGAGCAACACCGAGGCTTGCGGTCCCGTTGCCGGGCCCAGACCACACAATGTGTTTGACTAAGTGTGAAGTACACACAACAGGACCTAGACAATTTTTTTCCTTAGATTACCCTGCCCTTGCCTTTGGTTAAAAGAACGTTAGTGGGACAACTGGAAAAATCTGAATAAGACCTATAAATTAGATACAAGTCCTGCATCAGTACCCATCTCCCAATTGTCATCATCATGCTGTGATCATGCAGGGACTGGAAACATCAACTGAGGTTCAGAGGGAGGAAGGGGATCATGTCTGCTACCCTCTGCCCAACAGTCCTGAAAACAGTAATGATGATGATAATAATAATGAGAGGGAGAGAGAGAGATTATGATAAAGCAAACACGATGAAATGAAATGGTAACATATTTGGGGAGATAGGTGAAGGGTATAGGGGAATTCATATGGTTCTTGCAACTTTCCTCTTAAGCCTAAAATATTTAACAAAAAGTTTTTAAAAGGTTAAAAAAACACAAAAGTTAAAAATTTCTTTTCTTTTTTTTTTTTTTTTTTTTGGCAGCTGGCCAG